GTTAAGGTTTAGATTGGTTGGTTCGCTCACATTGGAGGGTAAGTATGGGTGCCAGTCGTGGCCCGATTTGGGTCGTGACAAAAAATAATTATAATAATATTTATAATAATAATAAATAATAATTATAATAATAATAATAATACAAATAATAATAATAATAATAATAAATAATAATAAATAATAATAATAATAAAAGAATTGCGGGCAAAAAGGTAATATACGTGGTCAACATAAAAAGATTTAAGTTGAAAAAAAAACATCTCACATATCTTTTAGCTCTTTTGGCTTAAAATACGTCATTTTTTACTTAAAATAAGTCACTTTGATAATTGTCAAAACACTCTAAATAAGTCATTTTTGACTTAAAATAAATCACTTTAGTAATTGTCAAACACTCTATTAAGTCAAAAACTGACTTTTAAGTCAGTTTGACCACTTTTAAGTCAGTTTGACCAGCTGTTAAGACCATTCAAACAGACTCTAAGTGACTTTCTAAGAGAATAGTGAATAGTTGAATGATCATATAAGATATTAACTCTCTAAAAACTCCAAATCAACCCAATACACTTAACTGATTGTGTGTCGGTCCTGCCTTACAAGTGTTGATTTTCCCATCTTAATGTATCGGTCTTATTGGACTCAAAACTGGGTCATCCGGCCCATTTAACAGGCTTATTTCTATTTCTATTTCTATTAATTTTGATTTTATGAGGTACAAACATGTCGTAATATTATATCTCACTTGATACATATACATTAAAACTATGTTGTTGATGTACATTCTTGTTTGATAAATATAGCATGTATAAGAGACCTTGCCTCTAATAGTATGACAACAACACAAAAAAAATTATTCTTTAACTTCTAATGAACTTACACTATGTACACGACATTAAAATTTGATATGATTTATTTTATTATTACTTAATAGAAAAAGAATTCATATAAAGATGGTCAATATATAGAAGTAAGATAGTTGCCTAACTTATAGTAATGGATTTGTCCCAAAAAACGCAAGCCCACATTTTTCTATTACTTATTAGTAAATGTTAACACTTGATAAAATAAAATAAATATAATATAAATTAATATAAATCTGTTATGACCATAATTAAAGATTTATTAGTAGTAATTATAAAATAATACATTTAAAAGTTGTAATATAGACTCTTAAATGAGCGAAACTGACACATATATACCATTCTTAGATTAAATTGACATGTTCTAGTTAAATAGATATTTGACAAATAAACATCTTAAAAGAATTGGCATATAATAGTCATACGTGTATTTTGCTCAAAAGCAAGGAAGGAAATTTCTATTTACTCAAATCTCTCTTAATTTTTTTAAAAAGTATTTGGTTACCAGCTTTCTTCTAACTTCCAAATGTTTCTCCTTAAGAGTGTGTTTGGTATGAAGGAAAATATTTTTTAACTTTCTCAATGTTTGATTGGAACAAAAGTTAAGGAAAATATTTTTCTAATCAACTCATTTTTCTCAAAATTAAGGAAAATGATTTTCCTTGAAAAGTTAAAGAAAACATTTTTCAAAAGGCATAATACATAAATATACCCTTTAACTTAACCTCATTTTACATTTATAACCTCCAACTTTGAGTGTGCATAAACAGACAGTTAAACTTGTATAATGTTGAACAAATAGACATACGAGTCCTATGTCACAATACACATAGGACACCACATAATACACAAATTTTAATGTAGGATGTCAAGTAGGACGTTTGTGTCTATTTGTTTAATTTTATACAAGTTTAAGTGTTTACTTGTGCATACCCAAAGTTGGAGGACATAAACGTGAAATGAGACCAAGTTAAAGGACATATTTATGTGTTATACCTTTCCAAAACTCTCATCCAACTTCAGATACATTTTTTTAGAAAAACAACAATTTCTAAAATATATTTTCAATTTCAAAATTTTAATTTTCACTCCGCCCTACCCCCCGACGCAATCGTCCCTCCATCCTTCTCTAAAAAAAATTATATTTGTTTTTAAAATATATCTTCAATTTCAAAATATTATTTGTTCACCCCGATTTTGGATTCCCCAACCCCCCGCCCCCAAAAAAAACATAATAATAATTTACTTTTAAAAAATATTTTTACAAAATTTCTTTTCTTCACCACTACCCTCGACCCTACCCACCCATATCAGAAATAATTTTTATTCATAAATCAAACACAATCATTTTCTAAAAATATTTTTTACCAACCAACCAAACATGAGAAAATAAATCATAATTTACTTGTTTTCCAGGAAACCAAACACACCCTAAAAGTTAAAACTATCAAAAAGTTTATTTATAACTATCTTTCTCCTTAAATTATCAAAAGTATTTAAATTATGAGGATGTTCTTACAGGTCTTTAAACTCTCTACCATGTATAAATTATTTCTCTAAAATAGACTATAATACACTACCTTCGTCCACTTTTAACATCATAGTTTCATTTTTTAGAGTTAAACTATAAGAATTTTGACTAATATTTTATGATACATTTTTTCTTCATATTGAAGAAATTATTTTCATGATTAACTGTTAGTTTGGAGCTGATAATAACTTTTGATGATTTAACAAACTTAGGGATCTAACAAGTAACCGGATCCTTGTTATTGAGACTGCTAACAGTGAAATGAATGATAAACTCAATGTGAGGTATATCTGTGTGTTATCATCAAAAAGGGGGGAATTGTTATATTTTAGGCGTTTTGATGATCCTCAAAAATGTGGGGACTTGGTCCCCAGCAGAGTGATCTCGTCTAGATACAAATGGGGCACCGATGTAAAGTTGTCATGTCAGGTAGTAGGTGAAAAGTGCAGTGTTCTACACCAATAGGAAGAGCGGACGAGATTGTATGTTTCAGTAACTCACAAATGCAAGGACCTGGTCCCAAGCAGAGTTCTCTCCATCAGATGCATAATTGGGTATAGTTGTAAAGATGTCATGTCAAAAGTTGGTGAGGGTCAGCATACTACACAAATCAAAATCGAGGAGGGTATTTGTACAAAAATCAATAACTCTTTATGGTTGACTTAGTTAACATGACAAACAACAAATAAATCGATTCATCAAAACAAAGGAAGTCAGCCAGCAAGCCTTTCCAAGAACTCACAAGGAAGTTTGCAGGGGATCTAGTCCCTGCGAGACTGCGATGTGAAAAGGTGACAAGACAGCTTTCAGAAAAGCCACCACCTCTAATGCGGTAGTTGCACAACTTTTCTAACAACAGGCCTTCAGCCAATGGGATGTTCTCAATGATTTTGTGGTGATTTATATCATCTCTTTCCAACAAACAAAAACTCAAGATTTGGCAAACTAAACTTGAATTTTCTCTGAAAATTCATAAGCTTAAAACGAGAAGGTCATCTTCATTAAGAATTCAAGCACAAGAATACATACAACAAGGACCTTATTAAGATAACAAGTGTTTTACATACCCGTTGTTGTTCTTGAATGCTTGAATTGAGCCTAACTTGTAGGATTCGTTTCAATTGTTTGTTAGAAACGTTTCAAACCTTGTTTGAATCTTGTAAGAACATAGTTAGGAGTAACTTTTTGTCTTATTATAAAAGTTTATATTAATCAATTGAGTTAGTTTAGTAGGTGGTGTGGTATCCGCTTAATTGAAGTTTAAGTTAACTAAGGGTGATAGCTTAGTGGGCAGTGTTGTATCTGCTCTGGCTAATCTAAGTAATAGATGGTATTGCTTAGTGTGGAGATTAGCAGGCTAATCTAGTGTTGTATTCATCTTTTACTTTTGCTTGTTGAAGGTTAGTGAAAGCGGTTTGAAAAGTCTTGTTGAGAACATGTCGTGGTTTTACTCCCTTGAGTAAGGAGGTTTTCACATAAAGTTGTTTGTTCAATCTTTACTTTCAATACTTATTTTATTGTTATTGTAACTGTGCTGAGGACCTGGTCTCATCGAAACAAGTGGATACAACTTTTAGTTACCATTCTTGCTGAGTCAAGGGACTTGGTCCTTGACTGATTGGTGGGTGGGTGCATACATTCCAACACTAACATATAACAATATCTACATGGATCGTCCAGAATATGTATAATTTAGTTTCTAATTATATAAAATAATTTATACTTGTTTACCCTAACTATTTGCAAATAATTTGCTTATCTTGATTGTATATAATTTATTGATATATTTGATTGATTTAAGTTCTGAAATAGTCCTAAATATTTATCCTATTTGTATATTGGCAAGTGAAATATATATAAAAAAATACTCATAGCAACCAAAATTATAGCTATAAAATGTAATTAATTAGTAGCTAAGAAAATTTCCGACAAGAAAATACTAGATTTTGAGAGCATTGACCTAAGATATATTATTTTTTGGTTTAATTATAGTACGTACTACATTTCAAATAATATTTGTTACTTTCTTTGTTCAAATTTATCTAGTATTGATAAATTTCGAGATGCAACCGAATTTCTTTTTTAGTAACTTTTAATATTTTAAGCTACTAATGATTGTAATTTTTACATCATTTTTTACCAAAAACAAGGGATTACCTATAAAATAGAGTACAAGTGGTTACTTCTCTATAGACCAACAAACTTTTACCAAAGGACCCTCTTTCCCACCCATTTTTTATCTGTATAAAAATATTAATATGCTTAACTCAAATCCACATAACCCTAAACAAAAAATTACATCACCAAAATAAAATTAAAAATTAAAAAATTGAAAAAATGAAAGCTTACAACTTCATGCCATGCATAATTTTATTTTTTGTCCAAATTATTATCCCTTTTGTTGTAGGAGGAAAAGTTCCAGCAATTATCGTATTCGGCGATTCAACGGTAGATACTGGAAATAATAATCAAATTTTAACTGTTCTGAAGAGTAATTTTCCACCTTATGGACGTGATTATTATGATAATAAGGCAACAGGAAGGTTTTGTAATGGACGTATTCCACCAGATTTTATATCTGAGGCTTTTGGTTTGAGGCCATTTGTGCCTGCTTATTTGGATCCAATGTATAATATAACTGATTTTGCTGTTGGAGTTTGTTTTGCTTCTGCTGGTACTGGTTATGACACTGCCACTTCTCATGTTTTAGTAAGATTCTATTCCATATTTATATATTACACGCTCCGTTTCAATTTATTTGTTTGCCTTACCTGGCATGACATGACAGGCTTGGCTATGTTATTTCTTCTGTTCCTAATTACTTGTCTATTTTGGAAGTGATATACCTATTAAGAAAATAGTAATTGATATAGTAAGTTCACTATTTTATCCCTATTAATCACGAAGTAGATGAATTAAAAAATTTAAGATTTTTAAAAAGTTCTACATTTTTCAAAGTACTAAATTGAGGGTATGATGAAGAAAAAAATTGTCATTTCTTGATTTGTCAAAATGGACAAATAACTAGGGACAACTAAAAAGGAAAAATAGAAAGTAATTAGGGACATGTGGAATATTTGTTAAAAGTTTGGTTTATTTATGGCATTTTCGTTTGAGAAAAAGGTTCATTCATGTTATTACTTGTTAACTGAAATGGTATAAAGGATAGATGAGCTGTTTCTCAAAGTTTGATGACATATTTGCACTTTTTTCTTAAAAAATGATTTAATTAATGACGTGATTGTGACTGAATCATATTTGACTACTTGTAAAAAATAGTTTTGCAAGATTGAAATTATTTTCAGTTAACAAATAATGACATGAATGAGTTTTTTTGCTAAAAAAGATAGTATAGATGAGTCAAACTTTTAAAGGATAACATAGATGATTCTTTCTTAATGGTCGATGACATATTTGAACATTTTCCTTATATTAAATGATATTTTCAAGGTAATCAGTTATGGACATAACTTTACATTATAAAACTACTCGTATTTATCTTTTTTTATTCATAATATTATTATTATTATTATTATTATTATTGTTATTAATTTATTATATCTGTTAATAAGCGCATTCAATTTCTTCTTCTTGCATTATTATAACAAAAAACAAGTTTTAACGATAATTATATGTACATTAACAAAGAATCCTTTAAGCACACAATTATTAAACTATTCTTTTTTGCATATTTTTTATTTATACACTTGAAAATGACAAGTATATTTTTGTGCTTCTTCTATTTTGTGGTCCGGAATATAATTGTGTTTGTTGGGCGAAAATAACATTAATATTATTGTGCACATAATTAGGTTTATTTAATTATAGAAAACAAAAAAATGAACCTTTTTGGGCTAGAAAACTATTGGTTTGAATTAACTTTGTCCATGGAACATTTATAGTATGTCTTACAATCCGCCTAAACAGGTGAGGAAGGGCCTAGTATTAATTTACGTAGTAATTTTAGGTATAATAATTAAAGCATCGTGCAAGTAATATTCATTTCATTTGCTTAAATTTAATATCTTTACCGACTGATAAAAAAAATAGAAATTTTATACTGTCACGATCCAAATCCGGGTTGCGACTGGCACCCACACTTACCCTCCTATGTGAGCGAACCAACCAATCTAACCTTAACATTTCAATATAATATCAACAGAAAGTAATGCGGAAGACTTAAACTCATTGAATAAAGACCAATTCATTAACTTCTAAAATTCAACATCTATTATTCCCCAAAATCTGGAAGTCATCATCACAAGAACATCTATGATCGAATGACTAAACTAAGAGTATTCTAAAAGCTAAAAATACATAAGAAGCTAGTCCATGCCGGAAGTTCAAGGCATCAAGACTTGAAGAAGAAGATCCAGTCCAAGCTAGAAGCATTAGCTCACCCTGAATTTCCGATGTAATAAGACTGGCTTGAATTACTGTTGAGTTGAAGACGATGGCACGTTTGCTGCACTCCACAAATAAACAAGAAGAAAACATAAAAGTAGGGGTCAGTACAAAACACGGGTACTGAGTATATATCATCGACCAACTCAAAATAGAAAT